ATCGCTCGTCATTATTTTGGGAATCATTTGCAACAAAAACAGAGATAAGAATTTGAATTGGAGGATGAAGTACTGTATTTATATTGACTATCAGTATGAGCTGGGAGTGTTGGTTACAGAAGTCAAAGGTAAATGGTTTTGCAGTGGATCATGTTATCTACTGTGTAAACAGAAGACAGAATCAAGCAGCCTTGTCATATATATATATATATTTTGAAAATTCTTGAGTAGTGTTTTCTCAAAGGAACTATACACCATGCATATAAATTGGCTTATTAAGATTATTTTTTCTGATTATTTATAATATAGACTGTAGATGTAGAAATCTGAAGTTTAACTGTGTAAGTAACTCCTGTCTATTTAAGAACACAAGGCTGTCTTGTTCCAACCTTTCTTAAAATGTTTCACACCATCAGTTTAGGCACAGCCTTAACAGCCTGTTGGTGTGCTCGTAATCTACGTTTCAGGCACTTCTTTCATTCAAAACTACCCCAAGAATTCCTCAGCAAAATTATTGGACTGTGTCCTCCCTCATAAGATGCTTTGAAATGTATCTTTTCTCCTGCTCCACTCAGAAAGGTTAGAAAGGAGATAAGATGCATCTTTTAACCAGCTTTTGTTGTCTGCTTGAGCTTTGGGGCTGCGTAAACCCTCGTGCATACCAAGGAAGTTGTGCAAAAAATATCCTGCTGCTCCTGATTGTCGTGGTGTTGGCAGGAACAGGCGCTGCATTGTCGGTCCCTCGCTCGCTGCTCCCAGGGTTTTGATCAACACGGGGGAAATCTGAGCCCAACAAAAGTCAATGAGAGGTTTGTCTTTGATTGTGCAGCGTCCAGGATTGGTCCCCAGCTGTTACAGGCACAGGCAGCATCCTAATGAGGAGAGCACAGCGATCCCTGTGGATTTACAAAGGAAAAAAAACCTCATGCATGCTGTGTGTTTTAATGTGCATTTCCTGCTCTTCCTGGAACTCTTCTTGCTTTATTACAGCTGAGTATTCCCTGAGCTTGGAGTTTTTCATATGTAGCAAATGCTTTTAAAAAAGTTAAGTTAATCCACGGTGTTCACATAAGCGACTTTATACTCTGACAAAAATACCTCAAGTCTTAATAGCAGAAATGCAAAATTTCAGGGGGAATTTCTTCACTGAAAGTGTTCTCAAACATTGGAATAGGCTGCCCAAGGAGGTGATGGAGTCACCATCCCTGGAGGTGTTTAAAGAACTGCTGGCCATGGCAGTAAGTGATGTAGCTGACAAGGTGGAAATCAGTCAAAGGTTGGACTCGATGATCTTGGAGGCCTTTTCCAAACTGATTCTGTGATTTGGTGATCTCTCATGAGATCCCCTAAAAACTGCATTCATTATTGGGTCTTATCCTGTGAGCTGGAATAGATGGAGATGCCCAATCAAAACATGGCCATGGTGGGTTGTTCAGAGCACCCTGTGACATCCTGACTGGGCTGGGCTTGAACAAAGGGAAAAAGGACAGCTGTGGCCAGGTATGGATTGGCTCTGGGCACTGCTGCTGTGTTTTAAACCGTTTAGTACTTCTGAGATTTGGGTAAAATATTTTTTGGGGAAATCTGAAAGTTGGCACGGTACTTGCTTGCCTAAGTCTGCAAAGTAGAGATTAAAAGGTGGCTTGAGGAGGTTGGGTAACGAACACCAGTAAAGCCAAACCTTTCACTTTACTGTGTTTTTGACATGTGCTTCCAACGCTGTGGATATGGGTGAAAAATCTGGAGGAAATCATGGTGTGTGAACCACCAGCATCCTGCTGCTGCAAATGTCACTGGCACACTTGAAGTGTGATTCATTAATTCTGTGTCTTGCTCATAATCTGATTTTTATTTTAATAGAAAGCCTAATTAGGGAGCTGTAGCTTGGGTGTTTGGTTTTGGAGAAAAAAAAATCCAATATTCTGTATTGCATCAACTACTCTAATTTCATCATTGTGTGCTGTTGAAATGTGTTACCATGATAATTTTCCATATGATTTGCTTTAACATTCATCACTTTTCATTTGCTAAATGACCTCTTGTAAAATAACCAATTATTGTTTAAAAAAAATTTCAATTAGAACTTGCAGCTTGAAACCTGAGGAAGGAGTAGTTACCTCGAAGATATTTCTGCTGGGTTTGGGGGTGGGGAGGTGAAGGTAAAGGACATTTGCTGTTTAGGAGGATTGTAAAGGAAATGAGTTTGCGGAAGTTGAAGATAGTGCAGGGTTTGAGGAAACTGGAGGCTTCCTGTATGACTTTGAGCAGATCACTTAACCATGCTGCCTCAGTTTCTTACTCACAAAATAGGGGCAGTGAAGAAATATAGATTCTTTTAGTTGCTGTATATAAAAAAATTGAGTTTTTGGAAAGCAGGAATCATTAAAAAAAAAAAATTATTTGCGAAAGCAGAAGTGCTTTATCTCTCATAGCAAGGGTGTGTATGGGATAACACAACAAGAATTGGGGGTTGTGAGTATATTTAAAAATGATTGAACTAGAAAAGGTACTATTGCACTGCAATCTCCAAAATGTGAAGCACCTGTATTTATCAGACTGTCCCTCAGCATCAGGTCCTCAGTTTCATTATTTAATAATCCTCAGTAATGCCCAGGTTATTTTTCAGTGCTCCATTTGTGCAAAAGAGCTTCTTAAAAAGAAAGAAAAAAAAAGGAAAACGTAGTAAAATCTGAATGAGATGCAGTCATGCTACCTGTACTTCCAGCAGCTTGTAGATTTTATTTTACAGAGAAGCCACATTTGGAAATCACAGAGATGTCTTGTTAAAATTACATTATTTAACTGCAAAGGTTTAAAGATACAAGCTCAGGGCAGTCCTGTTATCTGATAGGCTTTTGTTTCCAAGTTCATCCTTCGGCTCCTCTCTACAATTGTTTTCTGTTAAGTGAACCTGGCATGTTGTTTTCCTGAGGTTTATGGGTCATTGACAGTATTGGGTTTCACACAGACCAGCTGTTCTCAAATCAGGTCCCTTCCTGCACTGTCAGAGTCAGAGCCAGCAAAGCAGGGAGCACTCAGGCAGAGGTTGGTGGAAGCAGGAGAGGCAGCAAGAAGACAGCAGAGTCATTTTACTTCCAGCTTCACTTTACTTAACAACTTTACTGTTAAGACTTTCATGAATTCCATGCTCATTAGCAAAACGTTGAAAAATGTAGTGTTAAATTTACAGCTGTTCCTTGGGACTGTTTTTGTTGCTCCTTGGGACTGTTTTCCTAAACTCTAATTACAAAAGCAAGCCTGAAACAAGGAGAGTTTCAAAGCCCCTGGCAGGAAAGATGCAGCATCTGTCACATGCAGAGTTGAAAGGAAATGGGGATCTACAAAAGGAACCGAAATCAACTCAGAGCCTTTCCCCTCTGCCCCAGCACTTTTACAGCGGTGTCCGGGGTTTTTTTGTGTCATGTTGTGGTGGGGGAGTGTTTGGAGAGGCCTGGCAGGGATCTGAACTGCACCAGGACCACCGAGGTTGGAGGCAGGAGGTCTCTCTGTGGCCATGGCTGTGCTCCCTTCCATGGCACATGTCAGGATTAAAAGCATTTCTGATGCTGCCTCTCTTGTTTGCTGTGAGAATGTTCGTGTATCCAGACACATCAAGCTAAAGAATGCCCCTGTGTTCAACCTTAGGTGAGCATCCCTCCTTAGCAGCCACTGTTTGGACTACAGGTACCAGTATCTAGAGGGTCACCAAGGTGTTCTTCTGTTCTCACAAACAAGTTGGAGGTGGTTGATGTGATTTTTAGGGTAATACAAGTTTATTGGACATGGCATGATAGAGAATTGTAGTTTTGGGGCTTTTTACTGTCGTGTCTGATGGAGCCAAGAAGAGCAGCTCCCAAGTGTCCATCACACACTTGCTCCAGAGACCTGTCCCTGACACAGGAAAATATCAGTTGCTGTAGTGGAAGTTCAGGTTTGTGAGGGAGGGGAGTAACCTGTCCCAGCAGTGGGTTGGGGGCTGCATTAACATTCCTGTCTAAAGCTGTATCTTTGACTTACACAACAATCTTGAGTGAATTTCTTGTCCTGAGGAAAAGCCAGGCATATGGAAGAACAGGTTGCCCAGAGAAGCTGTGGCTGCCCCATCCCTGGAAGTGTCCAAGGCCAGGCTGGACGGGGCTTGGAGCAACCTGGGCTAGTGGAAGGTGTCACTGCCCATGGCAGGGGGTTGGAACAAGGTGGTCTTTGAGGTCTGTTCCAACCCAAACCGTCCTGGGATTCTGTAGAGGGGGTGATATCTGACACACATTCGATTCTTTGATGAAAATCATTGTGTAAGGTCCAAGAACTGTTATTTAAACCAACTGCAGTTAAGAGTCTTGTTCTGAAAGGCGTTCCAGGAGAGAAGTTCCTTGTCATTTGGCTGATATCAAGTATTTAGAACTTCTGTCACACCTCAGTGTGTGAACATGCCCTCGCCCTCAGTGTGATGGAGAGGAGGGTTCTAGGGGGACTCACAGAACTAATACCTCTCAAGAGGAATGAGCAGCTGGCCTTGCACACACAGTCAGTAACTATGAAGAAGAGGGTTTTTTGTTGAGTCTGAATGAAAATCAGGGCAAACATCAGTTGTTAGAATGTGCCAATCAAGGGCTTCTTGGTGAATTCCATGTAGAGAGAAATTTTAATTTAGAGCTAGTGTTCAGTCTGTCACCAAAGAGACACTCTTCAGATAAAAGTGCTTCAGATCTCATGATACGGGAAACCAATAATTATGAGATACAGTGAACAATACAAGGTAGAATTGCTAAAGGGATTAATTAGCCTTAGTCGAACTAACCACTATAATTGATGCAAATATCCATCTGCAGCCTGCTGAGACATTAGATAGTCATCATACACCTGCTGAATTCAGCAGCCTTGCAGAACACAGCTGTCAGAATGATTTCTGGTTGGGGTGGGATTTTTTTTCTTGAGCGTACTTGACGGTTTGTTCTTTTGTTGTTCAAAAACGTCTTCTTTTTTTCTCCTTTTCTAAACAGCACTTCCACGATGGCAGAAAGGCACAACAACACATTGAAACTTGCTGGAAACAACTTGAAGCAGTAAGTGGCAACTTCCTCAAATGTGACATTAAAACATTTTTCTATTGTTTTCATGGAAATGGTTCCAGATATCATATTCGGATAGAGAAGGGTGTAGGGATAAAAGATGCATAAGTGGGAGTTTTAAAACTCTGCTGACTTAAACACACATGAAAAAGTCTGTTTTAATAGTACATTTGGCTTTCTGTGGGATCTGTGTCTATCATGAGTAGCATTTCATTTGATATGACTTGAAAAGTGTGCTAAGCATTGCTGGAACTGCAGAGTCCCTAAGGGTCCTGTTTAGATATTCCACTGAAAGCTGAACAGCTTAATAATGTGTGAATAAATTGAACAGGACCATCTCTTGAGTGAGGTGCTGCTTCTCAAAAGCAAATACATTGGACTCGTCGTTCATGTGATGAATGAAAAGTGAGGCTGTAAATACAGGAGAGGATAAAGAAAGGAGGCATCAGTAACCAAAAGTACTACTTGCACATTTATGAATGTTAGTGACTCCCTTGTACATTATAAAAACAAAGGAGTTAAGTTTTGGAAGAATGATTTCTTCTACGAGAGCGGAAGAGATGGTAATAGGGAAAAATATTGAAATATGAATGATGTTGGTGGCATCAAGCACCCTGAATAATGGAACAAAAAACGTGTCTCTGGTAATTTCATTTTTTGGAGTTCTTTAATATGGAAATGTATTCCAGTGTAAACAAGCGAGTCCCAAAATCAGACAATTGTTACAGCGGATTGGTTTAGGGATGGGTATTGATTTTAGGTAGATTTTGGTGTCTTGTTTCCTTCCCACAATGAAGGCCCTTGTTTTTGCTTTTCAGAGTAAAAGGCGGTTTGAACGTGACTGCAAAGAAGCTGATCGAGCACAGCAGTATTTTGAGAAAATGGATGCTGACATCAACGTGACAAAAGCAGATGTTGAAAAGGTAAGCTGAGGGTGGAGAGGCTGTTTGTAAACACGGATGTGATAGGTTTAGTTCCTCAATCCCAGTGGGAGGATAAACCCTCTGAAGCTTAATACCTTACTTGAGTCGCCTGTACGTTAATTAAAAACAGGGGGATCTCTGCAGAAACCTTTATTTGCATAAAAATTCTAAACAGATACAGTCAGTTTTCTTCAGTAGGTGATATCTGAGTTTAACACATGGCTCTAAAGGAGTTTATGCAAACTCAGTTTTAAGTAACACCCTCGATTCTGTGACAGTCAGGCTTGTGAGGGCTCCCTGAGGGCTGCTTGCAGTTTCCACACATTTTTGTTCCCTCTGTGATCCAGGTAGGACTTAACTTACTGACCTTTGAGCAGCACTTTGAAGATGTTCTGAGGTCATTGGATGTGATGAAGTATTCCCAGAATTGTTTTCATGGTCCTGAGTTTAGAGCAGGACAGCTCTCCCTGTGATGCAGAGTTCTGGAATCCATTCTTGTCACAGATGGCACAAGGCTTTTATTTTCATTTCCCAGTTGCTGTCTGGTTGCAGAGTCATTTGTGGCTTTTTTACATTGATCCCCATGCAGTGAAGCTTTTGAACTGAGCTTAATTTTAAACATCCACTTCTGCTCCAGCATGTCTGTCTGGAAATATTTTCACTTTAATTTGATTCAAAATTGGATGTGTGGAAGGATGCTAAAAGTTTAAAAAGTTTAGAGGATGCTTAAAGTGTAAATTTTGCTGGTCCAGGTCCAGTACCTATAACTTAAGGAAGCAATGGGGATGGAAGGAAGTGTCTTTAAATTGCTTCTCTTTTGGGAGTTACACATCTGCTGAGAAGATGCATTAATGGAGATCAGAAACACCATATTACAATGTGTAAGGACAGTTCTGTCTTCCCTGAGTTTGAGTCAGGTAGGCAAAAAATAGCCAGAACGTTTGAAAAAGTTTAAAAAACCCACAATCACAACAACAACAACAACAAAAAAAAACCATAACCAAAGAGAACAGAGAAAGAAAAAGCTGAAGCTTAAAATATACCAAACATCTTGTTGCAGGGACAGGAAAGGAAAGTGAATTATAGGCAAGAAATCTTTTTCTAGTCCAAGGTGGTCCTTGTAAAATGTAGGTTTTGCTCCTTCAGAGGTCTGCTCCGTTCTATTCTGAGTTGTTTCAACCCTGTGAAGATATCAAATAGACGTTTTCCTTTACATCTGTGGGATCTCACTATCTTTCCAGTATGCTGAGCATCAGGAGATTGCGTGGCAAATAGCATCAAGGATGCTATTAGAAATGAGGACAGTAAATGAAAAACAAGCTCAGGAAATTTCCCCCAAGTGCTATTGCACATCAAAGGACAAAATACCTCTGTGGTCTTGTAATTTGCTTGGCTCTTATTTGTAAATTCACCATGTAGATTTGATCCTTTGTTGCCTTCTGGATTTGCTAGGGCACTTGACAGATGAATGCATGTAAAGATTGTTAAGGATGTAGCACCACATGTGGGTTTTTCTAACAGAGGGGGATCATCTCTGCTTTATCTGTATAAAGTGATTTTATGATACTTCTTTCACAGATAAAATTAGGGCTTGGCCTAGATTTTTTTCCAAAGCTGAGGCCATGTCAAAGGGGTACAAAGACATGACTTACTTTTTGAAATAGAGGGCTGACACTCCTTACTTCTGCATCCCTTTCCAAGGCTGGCCTTTTCTGATCAGAGTGAAAGGTCATATATCAATCTGAGAGTGTTAGGCAAATTCTGGGAAGCAGCCCCTACCCTGCTGCTTCCTCCTTCTCAAGTGAAACAGAGAGGCTTCCCTTCTAAATTTCTCTGGCTTTTTAATATATGAATTTGTAAATTATTTATTGCAAAATGAGGCTCAGTGGTATCTTGAAAGGAGAAAAATCTCTTAGTTATGCGTGTTGGCAGCTCTCAGGAGAAGGCATTACTCCACTTTTCAGGCAGTCAACAGAGTAGATGGAGAAGGAAAAGGTTATCAAAATGAGTGGAATGTGAAATAATATTACTGAACAGAGAGAACAGTGTTTTCCAAGTGCATGTGTTAAACTGGGTTCATCCATGTCAGGCTGTGAATAATGCCCTTTCTTTGCTCCCCTCTGCCCGTGTGACTGGGACGGCTCTTGCATAACTCCCAGTGCAGAATGGGATATTGTTCAACCACTGCTGCTCTCACCGGCTTCTCCAGGGGGATGCAGGAGCTGCTCAGCTCCAAATGAAGCAAGAGGATGATTCCCCTCCTCCTCCTATTGCAGCAGTTCTCATTTCTCTTGCCCCTTATGGCTTGGCTGCTGCACTCCTACTCCCAAAAGCTCCCAGGAATCCATCTGGCCAGGGGAGCAGGAGTTTGGCTGTGTCAGAGCCAGAGCTCTTTGCTTTGGCAGAACAAGGTGCCCCTCAAGCAGCGGGGTCGTTTGCCCTCGTTTCTTCCTCTTGAGATTGACACCTTGGCTGCTTCACCTTCTACCTGCAAATATGAGCAGACACACGAGCTATTTTTTGCATCATGCATTATAGAGTGGATGGCATTAATGGAATTGAAACTCTGCAGTGATCACAATGGCACATGCAACTAGAAGAGAATACAGCTGCAGCTGCCTAATGCTAAGCTGTGTGAGGTTCTGAAATGCTCACATCTCTTCATCTTTCAGTCACTGCAGCCTTTGATAACTGCAGCAGGAAATCCTGTGCCGGGGCTGCCAGCCACCAGCACTTATCCCTTGCCTAAGGGACAACTCTTGTATTATACAGTTTGCTGGCGTTAAGTAACCAGAATAGTGGCAGAGAAACAAATGAAGAGTTACTTTCCCCCTTATTTCTCCAGGACTGTTTGGCAAAGGGCCTCAAGTGGGTGCTTTGAGGCAGGTCTGGATGTGCAGACTGATGATGTACCTGGGTCTGTGCTCCTTCTGTGGGATCAGCCCAGGCTTGATATGCAGAGATAACATCCCTTCTGTGGCCAGGATGGGCTCCATCATCTTGCCAGACAGCAACCTGGTAGCTGATCTCAGAGAGAGAAGAGTGTTTGGCTTTGTTTCCTCTCAGCTCCTATTTTTGGTGGCAGGAACATGAAGCAGAAGCTGTGTTCAGTCTCTGCAATGGGCATGGTCTCTAAGTGTGGAGTAGGGCATAAGATCTCCTTTCCCTGTTTGCCCTGAGCCTCTAAATCACCAGCAGCCAAGGAGATGTTTGTGTGCTCACGAAGTGCAGTTTAACGCCAAGGTTTTGTCAGTTCAGTGTAGCAAAGCTCACTGCCTGGGAAAATATCCTTCTAAATATCCTTCTAAATAAATGGCGCGACGTGCTGATGTTGATTCCGGGAAGCCTCGTAGGTATCACTGAAAGCTTTATTTCATTTGGAGAGCAGTGGGATGTGTGCTTTAGAGCAGTTCTCTTTTGAAAACCACAGTGGAGCTGCTTCAATTTTTTGACCATTTGGGGAAGCAGTCTCTGTTGCCAGCACAGAGCCACTGTACATATAAGGCAGAGCTCTATTGTTTCTGCCTCCTCTTCGGAGATACAGTCACTAAAAAGCTGACATCTTTATGGGGTAACATGGTACCCAGTGGTGCCTTTGCAGACTTGTTGTAATAAAACAAAATTTAAAAATCAGCTGGCTTCTTTAAAGGTTAATTTTTTTTTTTAAAGGTAGGCTTTGCAGAATCTGATTTTAAAGAGGAAGTGACTGAGGCCAAATGTGGGAAGGGTGCAACGTGAATCGCTGACACCACAGACCAAGCTGAGGGACATCTCCAGCTCAGGGCTCTGCTGTGGCCACGTGTGTCACTGAGGTTTACTCAGTCAAGTCTGTCAGCAGTGAACTGCATCATAACCCAAGGCTGTGGGTACCTGCCTTCTGCAGACCTTAACTACTTAATTGGCCTCATTTTTCAGGAGGTGCTAAGTCATCTGCTCTGTGACAGTGGGATTTAATATCCCCTCCCTCTCCTGTGCACATCAAGGCACCCACTGGCACAGTGAACTTACCAGCATTTACCACCATGAACTTACCACCAGAAAAATGTGGTGCCAAGATTTACAGTCATTAATGTGGCAAATACTTAGTGCAGTGAGTAGTCCCAGAGGCTTTGCTTTTCCTGTTCCCTGCTGTGAGGTGCAACCTCTGCACAGCTGAGGTGTGCAAGGCTCAGTCCTGAGGATGGTGCAGGAGGGCCTGGCCTGTGCATTTCTGATTAGAGTGAGACACTGTGTAAGATTTTTCTGTGTTCTCTGCATGGTGATGACTTTTATGTACGTTGAGCAGGTTTCTGCTTCCCATTTGCTCCACAGATGAAAGTGGCTAAAGCTGCTGTGTCTTTGCTTGTGGTGTGGCTCAGATTTCCCATCGATTCAAGTGCTGTTCTTGCTTGGTAACGTGATTTAAGGCATTGGATTCATGCTAACGTTACTTCCCTAGGTTATGCAGACCCCAATATCCTTCCTGAACTGCTTCCTTCCTAACAGATGATGTAGTGTGTGAACGCAGGGAGTCCCTCAGGACAGCAATTTGCATTTCTGGAAGAGTAAGCCTTGTTTACAACCTGCCATCCGTGACTCTCCCTGCACAGCAGCTGTTTCCCTTTTGGAATCATGACTAATTTAAGAGTGTCGATTTCTACTCAATAGAGAGTTAATGACTCCAGCAGGAGTGGATGGAGGACTTAATAAATACCCATGTGTGTCCCACACATACACTGTGTGTGGTGTTAAGAGATCAAAGAGCAGATCATCAGTCAGTTTTACTGCAAGATAAGGAAATCCAACTGAACTTATATTTCCCCTTAGCAGTGCTCCTCTGCAGCAATGCTCCACGTGGCAATTTGACTGAGTTTTGTGACAGTACAACTCTTTTGAGAGGTGAATTGCTAAAAGGAGGGGAGTGTGAAGGGGAGGCTTAAGAGCAACTTCTGACATAAGGATAAGCAGCAGTTTCAATCAGAATTGCAATATAACTGGCATTCTTAGCTAGTGCAAAGCAA